CAAGTTAATTTGACATCTGGAAACAGTCTTTGATAAAATTAATAACAACTCGCCTATGTTAATACCTAATATTCAATATTACTTTATTTATTCAAATTTATACCTTTATCTTTCTTGTGATGGCCTATTCACTTGTAGTACTTTAACTCCCGAATACTGACGTTCGAAAATAGCACTCCAACTGAATGAAATAAAACTAAATCTAAGCCCACACAGGTACGCTTTGCGGACCTATTTTTCATTTAACTACTCTCACAAAAATGAATATTAGAACTAACTAACCTTGTTTTGTTTACTTTGGCACAAGGGTCTATCAATATAGAAAGTATGAGCGAAATCGATTTTTTGGCTGAGACAGCGATTTTGATGATCACATCTGACTTTTACTGACACTTACTCTTAAATCGTCGCGTTCTCCGAAATCTGCGTTCAGTTAGCTTTGATATGGCGTATAAAACTTAGAAATCTGTGGAGAATTATTGGAAAAAAAATATATTTACACGAGACGGTTAGCATTGTGAATTTGAAAGACGCTTGGATCGTGCTGTGTTTGCGACAGTAACTAGAGTGAAGTACGGCATGAGTTGTTAGGTTCGAATCCGGGTACAGTTAGCTTTCATATGGCGTATAAAAGTTAGAAATCTGTGGCAGATTTATAAGAGAAAAAAATGTATTTACATGAGACGGTTAGTACTGTGAATTTGAAAGATGCGTGGACCGTGTTGCAATTCAGCAGTAGGTAGAGTGTAATACGGCAAGGTTTGTGAGCTATTTTCGTATCGTGAGCATTAAATCATTATATAAGTGCTATAGAATCCGCATAATAAACATAGTTTCTAGTAGCTGTATTTGCCGAGATATACAGTATATTCTGTCGAGATATGCCAGAAAAAAAATATTTGCATGAAACAATAAGCAGTGGTCTTGATGACGCTGCGACCCGAAGGGGCCGGAAACACGGAACGAGTTAAAGATTGTTCAACACATACTGACCTCAAAATAATTTAGTTTTGAGAAATCTACCTTATCTTAGCGCTAAAAGGACAAAGTCCGGTTAGATATGTCCTGTAAACGGGAATTTTAAGTTTATTTGGGAAAAGCAATCTTGCACATGCGCAGCTCGTGACACTGTCGCTTTGCTTCAAGCCAAAATCGAGTTTAAGCCAGCCTGGCGCTTCCGACGGTGTTCGAAAGAGTAAAAGGTCTAAAATTCACCAGTT